ATTTTTTCAAATTCGTTATAATCATCCATTATTGGAAGACTGATTTAATTTTTTATTAAGGTCAAAATGACTTAAAAAATCAAGTGTAAGAGGAAAGACTATTCTTATTTGTTTTCGAGCACGATATAGTACTAGTTTTGTTCTTCTTTTCAAAGTTTGTCTTAGGTTAAGAAAACATTAATAATTTAATTTTCTGTTAAAACTGAAATATTTCTATTATAATTTTGTTACCAAAACCCTCTTAATAATAAAAACCCACCTTATAATAAAAAACTCTCTAGTATATACCTATTTTTTTCTCTGAAAATAGTTCAAACGTAATATATTAGTATTGGTACTTTTTACCCCATTATGTGGAACTTCTTGCCCCACATATGGAGTAAGAAGTGCCGAATGACTTCCTCTGTAAAATTTACGATATCTTTGTAATGAAGGGTATATATACATACTTTCTTGCATGTATTTTATAGTCAAAGGACTCTAGTTTCGAAAAATATCAACACGATCTGTGTGAATTAAATATTCTTTATTTTATAGTAAAAAATGTCAAAAGTGGCCCTTTACTCCCCGGTCTACCCTACCGAATTTTGTTGAAGGATTCGTAATCCTGATGTGATGTCATAGTAAGCATAAATGATTTGTAAATTTTTTCTTATTTTACGCCGCATGAAGTAAGATACTATAATTTTTACCAACATCAGAAAATACTGTACTAAAAAATTCTGAAAAAAATCTAAAAAAATTCTCACAATTCTATAAAAACAAAAAATAAACAATTTTTGTCTCTTGCTATTTTTTCGTTATTACATTAATAGTACTTGAATAAAAAATTATTGAAAACCAACATTCGGTGATTTTTAATAATTAATATCTTGTTAACTATTGCGAAAATTGTAAAATAGTACAGGACTTTTCGTCTCACAATCAATTTAGTCCTCTCTACCTGCTGTTGTCAGGAGTTATCAGACATCCTATATATACATACATGCATATTACATAGGGTAGACCGGGGAGTAAAGGGCCACTTTTGACTTTTTTTGTTATAAAATAAAGAATATTTAACTCACACAGATCGTGTTGATATTTTTCGAAACTAGAGTCCTTTGACTATAAAATACATGCAAGAAAGTATGCATATATACCCTTCATTACAAAGATATCGTAAATTTTACAGAGGAAGTCATTCGGCACTTCTTACCCCATATGTGGGGCAAGAAGTTCCACATAATGGGGTAAAAAGTACCAATACTAATATATTACGTTTGAACTATTTTCAGAGATAAAAATAGGTATATACTAGAGAGTTTTTTATTATAAGGTGGGTTTTTATTATTAAGAGGGTTTTGGTAACAAAATTATAATAGAAATATTTCAGTTTTAACAGAAAATTAAATTATTAACCCTTAGCGGCCACGCCTCAGCCCGGCCACATCGCGGCCACACCGGGGTACATAGCTAAAAAAATTAGTTGTACAAGATATATGGGTATTTTAAGATTTCTAATCGATTGTTTCATGTTTGTTGAACAGTTCTTCAACATTTCTAATGATTTATATTAGCCAATTTATAGATGGCGTTCTAAAAACTGGTCATATATGTGAAAATTCGGCAAAAATGACTTTTTTCAGAAAAAAATTCATTACTCCGCCATTTTTCAATATTAAGGGCTACAATTTTAGGATTGTACGCACAAGATATACCACTACCATAAAAAAATAACAGTATACGCCGATCTTTCAAAAAGTATATTTATTTTGCAAAATTATGGTTATGAGGGAAAAATGAAAACGTCGAGAAAACGAACGCTCAAAGCGCCGCCATGCGATTTTTCGGCTTCCTATGTAATGGAGTCACATCTC